ATTTTTTTGTCATTTTGTATCCAATTTTTGTCATTCAGTGCCTTATTTTTGTTGTTTTTTGTCTCATTTTGGTTGTTATATACATTTGTGGGACAGTTTTGTCTCTTGTGGTCGCTTTGTGTCTCGTTTTTGTCGTTTTGTGTCTCGCTCGTGTCTCGTGCCAGACTGTATCTAAACCGTTTCAAGCGCTCAGGCTAGTTTAATTGATGCAACCTTTTCTAACAAACTCTCAAACTGAGCAGCTTCTGCATTTCTGCTGCTCGACTGCTTCCAGGTAAATGTCAGAGCAGAACATCTGACAGTGTTGCAGCTTTATCTGAACATCTCGCCGCCGTTTCCTTCGCTGATAAAACCTCCTGAGCTCACAGGATGTTGCAGCAGTGGAGGCTCAGGCTTCACATCTGATGACTTCGCTTTAAAACCTGCAGCCTGATGAGAAGATATCGCTGCTGGTTGGTTTCACTGGTGTTATGCAGCTAAGTTAAGTGAAGTTGCTGAATGATCTACAGAGACACAAACTCTTCAATAAGTCATAATCTTATTTTGGGAAGACAGATTTTTTTTTTTTCTGATGAAATACAAAAAGTTCCAGCTTGAAACATCTTTAAGTTGAATTTCTGACAGTTTTTTGCTCACATGAAGCCAAACGTTGAGCCTTTTAAATGAGTTTTAAGCAGACATTTGCTAACAATTGACACATTTAATTAGTAAACTAAATATGTTCTGTTGTTTCTTGTGTTTGTGGCCAGTTTTTTTGTTTTTTTCCAGGAATCAGCTTGTTTGAAACTAAATATTGAAAGATAAATACTGTGTGGTCACTTGTGTTATTCTCTTCTTTAAACGAGGAGCAGCTTGTATAAAACCGAATATTGTAAAAAAAAAAAAAAAAAAAAAGTATTTGGTTTGAAGATTCTGTTTCCAAGGCTGAGCTGAATGAAAAGACACATAATTCTAAAGTTTACTTCAAATTTTAAACAAGAAATAAAATAAAATAAAACAAAATTAAATTAAATTAAATTCATCCGGAAATTACAAAGTCATAAATTTGTAAGAAAAAAACCCTGAAATGCTCTTTGATTAAAATCCAAATGTACAAGAAAATAAATAAATAAATATTCAGTAATTATAAAATGCTAAATTTACAAAAACAAACTCAAAAATTCTCTGAGATTAAAAAGTCATAAATTTGTGAGAAAAAAAAGTCAAAAATTCTCTCTAATAAAAGTTTTACAAAAAATGTATGTAATAAAAAGTCTATATATTTTTTAAGATTCAAGGAGCACATTTTAGAAAAGTAAACACAAATTTACTAGAAAAAGAAATATTCTCTGAGAGTACAAAATTGCAAAGAAGAACTTGGAAAATATTCGCTAATCATTGTAAAATTTCACAGACGCCACTTCAAACATCGATAATTTCTGATTCAACAACGCAGCGTCGGTGATGGTTGAGCAGAAAGTCTCACCAACGTGAAACCAAACTCGACATCTTTGGGTTTTTGCTGAGAAATGAAGACATTTGAATACGTTCACCTGAATGCTTCTGATTGATTATTAAACACTGAGACAGTTGGTTGCACTTTTCGGGACTTTTTCGTGACAGAAAACAACATAATTTGATGAAACTCACTGTGGATCAGGGACTCGCCTCCTCGTCTCTGGGCGTCGGCACTCAGGTGTGCAGCAGGAGAATATCCGGCCGTATTGAAGGCGGCGACGCTGCAGTTCCCCTCCTCTGCCTCCAGGAGCGCTGTCGTCCCGGTAACGTTGTGAACCCGCCCGCCACAGCGCACCTGGTAACCAAGGATACGGCCTCCAGCATCGTCGGGGTCAGGGGCCTGAGGAGATGTTCAGCAACAGAAAGTTTGACCCTGTTCAGGACTTGTTGCCGTACGTAGAAGGTCTTTCGGACCCCAAGAAAGAATACGTGCGAAATATTTGTTGGTCTTCATTACAGACTTTTGTACTGAGCTAAATGAATGTTCTGACCAGGTGACGAGTTTTTGGTTCCAAATGCACAACAAATATCCCTCAACAATAAAAAAAAAACACCTGTCACAGAACCCAAAAGTCCTGAATCGGGTTCATATGTGTTGGAGTTCATTCTGGATCTAGATTAGCTTTAGTGACTTGGTTTTAGGAAACGTACTGAAGGTATTTTCATTTTTACTCAGGCAAAGTTGTTTGTTGTTTTTGTTACTGTTTCCCTTTGAAATGAACCATTTCGTTGTGGTTTTACAGTGTAAGAGCCACTTCTGTTGCGTATTTGTTGTGTTTCAGATTCTCAGGTAGATCTGAAGACGCTGTTGTTCCAAAGAAAGCCAGATCTTCAACAAGACGTTTCTACCAAAGGCACATTTAAACCGAATCCAATCTGAAACCGAAGACAAGAATCACACAACAGCTTCACGTACTTTCTGCGACGCCTCTCACGGTTTTACCTTCCACATGAGACGAAGCCGAAAACTTCCATCCGATTCTCTTTTCTCGACTCTGTAACACACATCTGGAGGCTTCGAGGGAGCTAAGAAAGAAACAACAGAGTTAAAACTGAAGCTCCATTTGTCCATTTGTCCATTCGAGATGCATAAGTAAGTAATTCTGACGGGAAGAAATACATTCAGAATTCATCTTTTTAAGCCTAGATTAGGTTATTTGTCACCGATCAGCAGTTCAAGCATCACTGGGAAGTTCAATATCTGATCATTCTTTCTATTTTTACAGTTTGGTGCTGATACATTTCTTAACGCAACTTTTAGACTTTCTGGAAGACGTAGGGTCAACTTCAGCGGATTATTTTATGCTAGTTTGTCAGTTTGTCACAAGACTGTGCAGAAAAAAAGAGACGTAGCCAGTGCTACGCCACCCGCGTCGCTCGCTCTGAAACCTTGAGTTTGCTTCTCCCCGGTCGCCATCTTGGAGTTTTTGGAGCAAGAAGTGATCCTGAGAACCCGGATGTTCACCGTGATTCGCTCTGAGGCCTTGTTTATATTTATTTATGTGATTATTTTCAGGTAGATCGACGGACAAATGTTCAAAAGAAGATAACTGAACCAAATGTATCATCTGGACATGTTGAAGAAATGTACCGACTGAGCTTTTCGTGACGAGTTTTGAATGGGAGTCAATGGAGTCAGAGCTTTTAGGATCCCTGGTGGTGCTCTGTGGTACTGCAGTCCTGCATTGGCCATGTCCGTTTTTTTGTTTTCTTTTTTTGGGCTTTTTTGCCATTTTTTGGTAGGAAAAGTGGGGACAAGAATGGGGGAAGAACCTGCTGAAAAGGGCCATTAGCGGGATTCGGACTCATGACCTCCACATCGGGGACTGTAGCCCCTGTACATGGGACGCCAGCTCAACCAGGTGAGCTATCACGGCGCTCGCGTCCATCTTTTGTTTACAGTCTGTGCATTTCCCTGTAAATCTCAGCGCGGACGTTCACCTCTGTCCAGAGTCGTCCCGCTGATGTTGGAGCTCCAGTCGCTCCAGACGCCGTCCGGCGGCCTGCAGGAGGCGCTAGCTCTGTAGAGGCTGAAGGTCCGCAGGGGTTTGATGGTGACAATCAGCTGACGACGAGCGGCAACAGAAAATGGATCTGGAGCCTGGAGACGAAACAAAAACAAAACTGAGTTTAACAGATATAAGATCAGATATTTTTCCACACATCTCACAAATAAACTGAACAAAACCGGAAAAGAGGAAACTCACTATATCTCATTTTAAGGCTGATTAAAACGTGTTTTTCATTTGTCAAATGTAAATGATCACGTCAAGCACCAAACCAACACTGAACTGCATACCTCTGCTTAGTTTTTCTGTTTCTATTTTATTTTTTGTTGTTCTATTTTTTTGTGTTCCCCCTGAGGGATTGCCACCTCATCGTGATCGGGGGGTTTGGGTGCCTCAGTGACCCTAAGATCTACACCAGCAGAATCTTCAGGTGGGACGCTCAAGTTAGACGAAGTGCAATCCAGTTACATGACAAAAACGGTTATCCAGAGCCCCACCAACACCACCCCACTCCCTCCTCCGTCGCCATGTACCCCTTCACATTTCTGTCTATCGTGACTCGATAATCCGACACTAAATGTAAAACCTTCTTTTATGTCGGATAGCAAGGCTGTTGGATTGTCAAGACAGAGGTCGAGATACAAGGAGGGCTTGATGCTGGAAGGCTCAATTGATGTTAATTATTCATTGTTCATAGTTGTTATAATAACTAGTGTATTGTTAGAACACTACGCATCGCTGGATTTCAGCCTAACTGATCGGTGTACTGGTGCACGTTCCGGCCACTTCCACTCCGGGGCAGCGCTCCGACGGGGCTTCAAGCGTTTCGAACTCGAGTTTCTGACAGTTTATTGTTCGTATGAATCAAATCAAAGCTGTTTATACGTCACATCACACGAGTCAGATTATTTTATGCTTGAAATGAGCTACATGAGCTGGTTGACAGTTTATTTTGCAGTGTTGCTGTTTGATACCAACCAGAGTCCACATGCGAGTGTCGTTGAGTTTATACCGAAGCCTGCAGCTGCCGTCGCTGCTGCTGTTCACCGACACGACCAGAGAGTCCTCAGAGGAGCTGAGCAGCACCACCGAAGGCGGCGGGGGTTTAACTGAGGAGACGAGGAGGGTTTGTTAGTCGTTAGTTGGCGCTGTCCCGTCCCGGTTACCCGGTCGGCGATGCCAACCTGCTTTGTTGAGAGACATGGTGTGAGGCTGAGACCAGGTTTCTTCTCCCGTCAAGTAGTTCCTCGTCCTCACGGTGACGTTCAGGACGGCGGCTGGGTTGAAGATTCCCGGACAGAACGAGACATTGCCACCGCTGGGGGAGAAAATGGAAATAAATTAGAAAAAAAAAAAAAAAACCCGAGACGAAGATTCATAAATACACATCGCTGGATTTCAGCCTAACTGACCGGTGCGCTTGTGCATGTTTCGGCCACTTCCACCCCGGGGCAGCGCTCTGACGGGGTGGAAGTGTCCAGAACACACAGGCAGTACTTGGCTGCTGATGCTAGTTTAGTTAGCGCTCACACTTCTGTTTCCACCATCGGTGGCGGCTTACAAATCTTACAAATCAAACACAAACGTTCTCGTGTTGAACTAAAGCTGGAGAATCTGCTTCAATTATAAAAAAAAAACTTGTGTATTTTCCATCAGATGATTATTTTTCAGGCCCCAGCTGCTGAAATATTGCGTTTACTTTCTCACAGTGAGCGTCACACTCTGTCAGACTTTACCGTGTGAAGATGAGCGAAGCCTCCGAGTTCCGGTCCAACTCCCGCGTCCAGCTGCAGGTCACCGATCGTCTGTCTGAGGACTGCTGGTAGAAACACGACACGTCCAGAGGCTCTGCAGGAAGACAGCAAGGAGAAGATGCAGATTTACCGCTGAACGTTTCAAACGAAGGCCTTGAACGCAGCCTGAGCGGGTCTCTGACCGAGTGTGGCTGCAGCGGCCAGACGGCGGCAGTCCTTCGGCTCCGTCGCACAAACTCGCTTGTTTTCTCGACAAGGTTTCAGGTCCGAGTTTGTCACCGTCACCTCTGAAACACAAACACAGTTCATGTTCAGCTCAGTCACGGTTCATAGTCGTGTCACTTCATCTTCAGACAAAAGGACCAATTTAACCTCCTCATGCTCACATGCTGTTTATTTCAGACCTTTTTATTCTTAAATGCTTTTTGACACGCTCACATCATCGTGCTTCTAATTCATCCATCCATCATCTCTACACCTTAATCCTCACCAGGGTCATGGGGGGCTGGAGTCTATCCCAGCTGACTCAGGGTGAAGGCAGGTTCACCTGGACAGGTAACCAGTCTATCACAGGGCTACACTTAGAGACAGACAACCAAGCACACTCACATTCACACCTACGGACAATTTACAATCACCAATTAACCTCAGCATGTTTCTGGACTGTGGGAGGAAGCTGGAGAACCCGGAGAGAACCCACGCTGCACGGGGAGAACATGGAGACTCCACGCAGGAAGATCCCGGTGGCCCCACCGGGACACGAACCGGCGACCTTCTAGCTGTGATGCAACAGTGCTAACCACCTGCAGGCCTTGCTTCTAATTCAAGTCTTTTCAAAAAATTTTCTTTCTTGTAACACATTTAAGGCTTGAAAATTTTTTTTTGTTTGTTTTATCGTTTTATTCTCTCATGAAAATAGCAAAAAACGTTTTTTCTTTATTATCTTTATTTTTATAAACGCTCCATCTTTCAACCCTCACTAAAGCCTGATCCTTAAAAAAAAGTGATTTAAAAGAAAACATTTCTTGTAAAATACACATTTAAACCTGAAGAATTTCTATTTTTTTATTCTTTTATTGATTCTTGTACACTAAATAGTGAATTATTTTACTCCTTCAAGCCTCTAACTTCATTTAAATAAAAACAAACACTTTACTTTTAACTATTCTTTGCATTTTATGTTTTTGCTTTAGTTGCTGCGACAATTTCCAAGTTTCCTCCTTCACGTCTAAATTATTATTTTTCATTTTCTTATTTCATTTCCTTGTGAACTACTGATCAATCTCACAAATTAAATGTTTTTACTGCTTAAAATATATTATTTCCTTGTAAAACATCACAGCTTCAAGCCTCTAGTTGTCACTTTCATTTAGTTTTTTACGGTTTTACCACATCTTTCCTGTAACAGTCTAGTTTTACCCCGTCATCATCATACAGACAACTGAAAGTCAATCATCTGCTGAAGCTGGAGGATTAAAAACAAACCGCTGAACTAAATTACAGCCAAACACAATCAATAAAGTTGATAAACTGAGAACCCGAAGCATCAGAAAAGACTCCTGAGGCGGTGATTTCAGTTAAATCCAGTAAAGTCTGGACCCGCGCTGATCAGTTTGTGTTCGACTCACCGGCAGAGAAAACGGTGAAGAAGCAGCTCCAGAGCGTCCAGACGGAGAGCTGCACTTTGACGTCCATCTCACCGGCTGGAGACACGAATCAGCTTCTTCTAAACCCCCCAGAAACACGTCCATCCAGCTGCTGCGTCCACGGTTTGAGGTTTTCAAAGAAGCCGAGCGACGACGCTGACAGAATGAGGAAGGTGCTCACACCCGGGCTGCTCAGGAAATTACTCCATCACGCAAACCACAAACATCAGATAAGCGTTTCCTCAGAAGTGCCCTTCTTGTCATTTCCTGAAAGTGAGACTGCAGAAGCCTGAAGCTGACTAATGAAGTGGAAAAAAACGTGGCGCTCAGAAGATGTTGAAACGTTGAAGCTCAAAGCCAAGAGAAACGTTTCAAGAAGTTTTCTTGAAGGCGACGAAGCCTCAAAGCGACTCTGAAGGAGAAACCTCAGCAGACACGCTGCCTTCAGAAACAACCAGCAGCTCAGATCAGAAACACGAGTCGGTCGATGAGACACCTCGACAGAAAACCCCCCCGAGCCGCCTCAGAGTCGGCTGAGCCTCAACCTTTCAGCTTCAGGCCCTCAGAGGTTCACATTTACCACTTTAATGGACGTTTTCCATCATTTCTGAGCCTCAGAACTTCATCAGTGCAGCAGACAGACACATGGACATAAAAACACATCTGGTAGAAACGGACATTAGATCAGTTGGTGAAAACAAGTTAGAGCGACTAAAAGGTCTCGTTTTCTCACATGATTCATTTCAAGTTATTTAGGACAAGTTTTGAGTTGTTACGGAGAAGTTTAAAGACAACTTTAAGACAAATTTAGAGCCATTTGGCAAAAGTCTCAAGACATGTTGGACAAGTTTTGAGTTATTTTGTTAAGATTTTTGTGACTTGGGACCAATTTGGAGTCATTTGGGGCGAGTTTCAAGACATTTTGGACGAGTTTTGAATCATTTAGGACACGTTTTGAGATATTTCTGTTAATTTTGACACATTTTCAATCATTTTGGACTATTTTTGAGTCACTTGGTACAAGTGTCAAGACATTTAGGTCAAACTTTGAGTCATTTTGTGGAGATTTTTGTGATTTGGGACCAACTTGGAGTCATTTGGGGCGAGTTTCAAGACATTCAGGACACCTGTTGAGGCATTTTGTGTCATTTTGGAGACGTTTCTAATCATCCAGGCAGGGTTTGAATAATTTTTGTACAATTGTTTGTCATTTTGGACAATTTTTGAATTGTTTAGGACAAGTTTTGATTTGTTTTGGAGAAGTTTAAAGACAACTTCGAAGAGGCTTTTGTCATTTTGGACCAATTTACAGTCATTTGGCAAAAGTTTCAAGGCATTCTGGACAAGTTTTGAGATATTTCTGATCATTTTTAACATGCTTTCAATCATTTTCGACCATTTTGAGTGACTTTGTACAAGTTTGAAGACATTTCAGACAAATTTTGAGTCATTTTGTGGAGGTTTTTGTCATTTGGGACCAATTTGGAGTCATTTGGGACAAGTTTCAAGACATTCTGGACACCTGTTGAGGTATTTCTTGTCATTTTGGAGAAGTTTCTAATCGTTCAGGCAGGGGTTGAGTCATTTTTGTACAAGTGTTTGTTATTTTGCACAATTTTTTTGAATTGTTATGGAGAAGTTTAAAGATAACTTTTGGAATTTGGAATTTAGTTCCATTTCAGATAAGTTTCAAGACATTTTGGACAAGTTTGGAATTGTTCAGGGCAAGTTTTGAGATACTCTTGATAATTTTGACACATTTTCAAATCATTTTGGACTATTTTTGAGTCACTTTGTACAAGTGTCAAGACATTTAGGACAAGCTTTGAGTCATTTCATGGAGTTTTTGGTGATTTTTGGACCAATTCTGAGTCATGTGGTACACGTTTCAAGACATTCTGGACACCTGTTGAGGCATTTAGTGTCTTTTGGAAAGGTTTCTAACAGTCCAGGCAGGGTTTGAATAATTTTTGTACAATTGATCGTCATTTGGACAATTTTTGATTAATTACTAAATTACGAGGCTTGAAAATGATTAAAAAGTGATAAATTTGGCCTGTAACTGAAAGTACTCACAGCATGAAGGTAAAACTCTGCACAGCTTCATTAAATGTACCAAAGTTACTGTAGCTGAAGAATCAGCTGATTCTGAGGAGGTTTGGGGAGAACTTCAGCACCAACACCTCAAAACTGTACTCGACTAAATACGCTACCAGTTGCTTTCCACTACCAGTGTTCAGCTAAATTTCTCAACAAGCACCGGACAGATTGCCTCGACATCTGGGACATTTTTGTTGATTTTTCAACCTAAACTTACCCAGAAATCCCAAAGTTGAAGCCAGAAGCTCCAGCAGGGCCTTCACTGGTTCTAAACCTCAGTATTTTAGTGAACTCGTCTCAGTCGCTGCTGTCGAGTGAAGAAATAGAAAACAGGAAATTACCCAAACTGTTCCTCATTAGTTTAATTTTCACTTTCTTTCTTCCAAAGCAAATTTTCAGCTGCTCATTTTTTTCTTTTTCTTATAGAAAATCAAAACAACAACAAGAAAAAAACACAACTTGTAGAAACATTTAAAAATGACTAACAGCAAAGAAAAACAAAAAAAAAGAAAAACCCCCAAAGAGAAATGAAACAAACGCTGTACAGAAGAATAAAACGCTGAGCTGCAGCAGTGAGTTAATGAAACATGAAACCCGTTAACGGACAAAACAAACGGTAAGTCTCCTCCCTTTAGTCCGGATTTCCTCGCAGCGGTTTTTCGCAGAGAAACACGACGAGAATCGGCGCTTTTCCAGAGTCCCGCTTGTGTTTTCCTGATTATTTTCAGCTTATTTACAAAAGAACACACAGAGAATCTGGTCAACCATGATTTCAAAAGAAAAAAAAAAAAAATCACACGTTTATCATCCAGAAGAGTTTTTGTTGAGTTAAAATGGAAAAAAAAAAGTTGTGTTAGTTGTGAGACTTTATTTGTTGACCTACAGTTTTTTAGCTTTTAGCCATGTCGTTGGAAAAACAGAACATATGATGCAGTCGGACATTTCATGATTTAAGAAAAGATTTTTTTTTTTCAATACCGACGTCAAAACATTCGATTTTAGAGGCGGAGATGGTTTCATTTTCTACACAGGACTTCCGCGTTACCACTTCATGAATCGTCTTTGATGTATTTTTAAAAACTTTTTTCATGTCGTCTGGCATCGCGTTCACTTGTTTTCGGCTGCTTCCCTGGAACCGAGCGGTCAAATCGTCGGCACTAGGACTCATATTCGACTTTTTCCAGTGGTTCCTGGCTAAACGCACCACTTCTGGAGATGAAATCCTGCAGAAACAGCCGCAAACCAGGCCGTTCTGCAGCAGCTTCAGCTGATTTTGTCGAACCATTGTGCTTCTCGTGTGTTTTTCATCCTGCTTCAGAAGCGTCGTTTCATCCCTTGTGACTCCGTTTCCCAGAATTCCCTCCTGAACTCGAGCGTTTGTCTCAGTTTAATCAACTTTTTTCCTCATTTTGGCTTCGGGAAACATCACCTCCAGCCTTCAGAAACCCTCCTCTGGATCACTTTGGTACCAACATATTGCTCCTTTACAACTGATTCATATTTTCATCTCTGAGAACTTCGGACTCTGACGCTGCACAGAATCAAACCTGCGACCTTCGAGGTTTTCATTTCATGATTCGGAGGGCAGGAGGAGGTGCATAGGTCAGAAAAAGCACAATTATATAGAAGGAGGGGGGAAAACAAAAAGGTGGACAAAAGTTCAAACTGAAAAGACAGAAAAGAGAAACGTCTCCTCGGTGAGCGACGGCCGGAAAAGCTGCTGCTAAAGTTCTCACAAACGCTCGGTTCGTGTTTTCAAAGTCAGAGCAGCGTCGGGCTTCCAGAGGTCGGCCGAGCCGAGCCGAGCCCGTCTGTGTGTCTCTGTGTGAGTCTGTGTGTGTGTTATTTGTTGCGCAGCAGCTCCAGCTGGTCCTGGTACTCGGTGAACAGTCTCTGGAATCGCAGGTTTTCGCCGATGACGGGTAAAACCTCCCGCAGCAGCTCCCGCTTACGAAGGCCCTGAAACACGGAAAGAAAGGATTCGACGTTTAACGTTCAGTCTGACGATCTGAGAGCTTCTACAGAAAACACACAGACACCTGAAGCACATTAAAGCTCCTCATCCTGCTCGTTGTTAGACCCAGTGTTAGGTTCTGATTGTTGTTTTTCATCTTCATTTCCTGTTTCTTGTCTTCATGATACTGTGGCATGTCTGAAATAAATCCCCCCCGATAAACAAATGGAACCCTCAGAGGACCGCCGTCAGGCCGGAGACGTCACGGCAGGAAAACCAGCGCACATTCAGTTTCTGTTTCACATCGACCAACTACGTAAAACCGGAGACATGAGGTTATGAATGTGCGAAGCCTAAGAAACACAGACCGCAGGCATTTCCTTCAACAGCTTCATCATTTTTTTGTCGTTTCACAAAATGAAAGTGAAACAAAGTCTGTGGAAGTGCAGCTCCTTACGCGGCTGAAATAAAGTCACACCAGCTTTGTATAGAGCTGCTAACATTTGTATTTAATTTAGATTGTATGTCAAATTGAGCTTTCCACGTTCACATCTGCAACCTATGGTGACATTTTCAACCTTCAAAATGCTCCGTTAAGCATGTTTGTTGTTTTTATTGTAATAAACATATATATTTTTTCAAATTGGATTTGATATTTTTTGGATGTTTTTGAGCCCAAAATGTTAATATACTTGGTTAAAGTGAAAAGATACCATTCAGATCATATCAGTGATGTTGTGCTGAAGATAAAGACACCAAACACGAGCACGGTGAACATGTTTCTATGTGGGATATAAAGACAAAACTAAAAGGATGCATTCACGGCCAAAACAGGCCCAGACCTGCTAAATAAATCCAGCTGATCTGCTGAACATCACTCTGTCGTGCATTAAGAAAAAAAAAAAAAAAAAGCATCTCAGAAACCGAGCTGCTCCTTCATCTGATTCTTATTTCACCAGATAACAAAGTAAACAGCTTACAGTCCTACTGTAATAATACATGATGTAGCATTGGTGCGTTCTTTGAGCGTCTCTCCAAGTCGACTTTGTAAAAAATGAAAGTAAATCAACTGAAATGGCTTCTTTACAGGAGTAAAACTAGAACTCAGAATAAATTAACAGAATCACAACTCCACCATAAGCTCATGTAATCAACACGTTTGAACCTCTGTCACAACCAAAAACAAACATTCTGACTCGATGCAGCATCACAGTAGAGCTGAAAACTTCAGGTTCATACGAATCAGAAACATCTTGTAAAAACCTGAATGGATTCAGCAGCTTTCACGACGTCTCAGAGGCGTATTTCATATTCACTTGTATCCTGTTCTGACTAATGTTCTATACCGTTAATTGAATGTGAAATGGATAGAAATCGATTGAACTTGTCGTCGTCGTACCAGAGTCGTGGGCTCCCAGGACGTCGCTGCCGACTTGTGGACGGGACCCAGCAGCTCTTTGCACAGCTCTCTGAGACGATACTCTGAACCTGTGGACAAAACACACGGAAAACATTACGACAACCGCGGAAAGACGACTTCGGATTGTGCGGCACAGATTGTGTGACTTCCTTAGACGTCCGTGTGTGCGATCGCCCTGATTGAGTCGTGGACGAGGCGACGGTTATTCCTGAACTCTGACCGTCTGAATGTTTCTGCGCTAAACAAGTATTATTCGTATTACTACTATCTAGATGGAACTCAGGACCAAAGATGCACATTTTGCAGACAGAGAACCACCGAACGTCAGAAGTTTGTCTGATATTTTAAGTGACGAGCTTCGTTTCGTCCCCCGTGTCTCCGGACTTTGACACTGAACCAACGACAGAACCTGAAAGTGTGATTAAGACTCGAAACAGGAAACTATGACTCATGAACCAAACCCATGAGTACGGTGACCAACTCTGTGGCTTGAAATCAAAGCAGCGTGAGGACGGTGGTGGGGGAAGCCCCTGGACGGAGAGGGGAAACCTTTTTAGTCAGTTTAAACGAGGCAGTTAAACTCTGGCCTCGCCCCAGAACATGAATAAACGCAAACGGGTTTGTTTCCTGGGGAGAGTTTGTGAGAAGTTAAGCACATAAGAAGACGTTAAATTAACATTATTTGTTTGAAGACATTTTTCTTGAAAACTTTTTTTTTTTGTTGAAGATGTGATGTTTTGACCGAATCACAACAACTTCCCAGAATTCTCTCCTGCACTCAAGTCTCTGTCCTAGGCCACGTTAAGCCGGTATTTACAAAAACGGGTCTACGTTTTCAAAAATAACATTGTTTACACCAGATCATTTTCAAAAAAAATAAATCTTCGTCTACACAAACCAGCATAAAAACGTTGTTAAGAGCCGCTATGAACTGCCAGACCTACAGGGGGCAGTGTAACGAGAAGCATAAAGCCATGCTAGCCAATCAGAATCCTACAACGAATGGCTCGACTTACATCCTGTTACTTCAACAATGGCGGTGCGAGGGTCGTTTATTTGGACCGACAGAAGTGGAGCTACTCCTAAATGTGATGTTAGAGTACAAAACAAGTGAAATACTTGAACAGTTTTTAGATGTGATCATTTTTGGTGACTTGTAGCTTCGTGCAAACAGGGCTTAAGTTTAATCGGCTTTTTTTTTTTTTTCACATTTTGGTTTCAGAAATACCAGAAACACTCGTCAGGGTTCCCTCTGGTGCACCACCTTTAAACTATTTGTCGTCGTTTTTCAGACCCGGTGCTGTGTCTAGACACTCGGGACGGCGTTGGGCTTTGAGCGAACGGTGCTGCGGTACCTTCGTTGACAAGGAAGCGGGCGTAGATGAGCAGCCAGTGCCGGTACTCCTGGGCCGACTGCAGCGTCAGAGCCGACGCCAGCTGGTTCTCCAGGAAGGCCAACGTCATGCTCTGCTGCAGGTGGTGAGGGGTGGAGGAGAGGCGGGAGGCCAGCCGACCGGCGCTGAGGCAGACAGCACACATCGGTTAGTGCATTTCATCAGGACCAGGAAAGATCTGGGTTTTATACAGTCAGAATTTACGCACACAGGTTGATTTTTATATATTTCATTTATACTGTACTGTTTTTGTTTAATGTCTGGCACTAATACGAAGGTGGGAGAGAAACATCTTTTCAGTTGCTCTGTGTGTCCTGGACATAAAGACAAACTGACAATAACAATCTTCTGCTCCAGTGCTGAACAGCAACATGCAGATTAAAAACAAAAAGACAAATAGGAGGCTCAAAAAGTGAGAGGAGCAGCTCCAGTAGGAAAATATGAGTCTAGCAGATGCTGCAGGTGAGATTAAATATTAAAACATATCATCAACACATTCATTTACGTGTCTGAAAACCCTATTTTTCTACAACATGTCGTTGTTTCTGCGTATAATCTGAGCAGTATTAAGACTCGTCTGTCCGTATTTCTATTCGTTGAAGAATCTGTGCTAAAAAACGCTACCGTGTGACTCTGCAGCCTCTTAACCGTTGAAATGGTTTCCTCTAAATAAGATGTTTTGGGGCTTTTTTTGAGAGTAAAAAATACAAAATTCACAACTTTCTGCTGAAATGTTTTCAAGAACAAATGAATAAACACTGACTGACTGCACATGACAAACAAAGCAGAAAAACACACAAAAACACAACTACTACTTGTGAATATTCTGATAGTTTTGACAAATAAGAGACAATAAGTCACAAAAAGTGACAGAATAAATTTAAAACGTCTCCAAAATGACACTAAATCCTCCACAGGTGTCCAGAAGGTCTTGAAACTCGTTCAACATGACTCCAAATTGGTCCCAAATCACAAAAATCTCTGCAAAATGACTCAAAACTTGTCCAAAACGATTGAAAATGTGTCAAAATTATCAAAAATATCTTAAAACTTGTCCTAAATGTCTTCAAACATCTCCAAAATGGCACTAAATGCCTCAACAGGTGTCCAGAATGTCTTGAAGCTCGTCCCATGTGACTCCAAATTGGTCCCGAATCACAAAACCTCCTTTCTTTAAGGGCGAAAACACTAAATTTCCAACATTCTGCTGAAATATTTTCAAGAACAAATGAATAAACTCTGAAGTGACTCTGACTGATTACAAATGAAGCACTTCAGAAAAACACTCCAGAACTACTACTTGTGAATTGTCTGGTAGTTTTGAGAGGTTTCTGCACCATTTCTCACATTGTTTGTAACCCTGTGGATCAGTCCAGGCTGATCCTGTGTGGTCTTACTTGAGGTTGCGTCCCTGCATGACGGCCAGCGGCCCCGAGGACGCCGGTGCATCGTGGGTCGGCAGGCAGCTCCTGAAGTCGGCACACTGCACCAGAGAGTCTCCTTTATCCGCTATCAGAGTCCTGAGACACACAGAATGGCGTTAAAGAGGCGGTTCAAACCCGACTAGCGCAGAACCAATCCTGTAACTCTGCAGCTTCTCACCACGTCTCCAGGGAGGAGCTGAAGCAGTACGACTTCCCGCTGGACAGCCCCACGACCGGGACTCCCTGCTGGGTCAGCAGAGACTGGGACACCGAGGTGTCGGCACCTGAAGACACAAACTGAGAGTTCTTATGGAGAACAACATGACTGGACCAAGTAGAGTAGTTTAAAGACACCTTGACGTGAAATAGCTCATTCATAGCTCCGACAGAGGCCACATTCTGAAGTACTGGCCATTGAAAAGGAGAAAAGATGCAAAATGTTCAAACAAGGTTGGTACAGTGTTCCTAGAAAGTTCCTGTAAGTGTCTATCTATGGATGGATCCATGTTTCTACTAAAACACAGTCTCTGGTCGACATTTCACCGACAGTTGAGGCTCTAACATCATTAGAATCTGATGTGTGGAAGGACAAGGCTCCAGTTTTTAGACACGATAACGCTAACATTGTTCCATTTGGACAAAGTTGGGTCAATTTGGATGGAATTTAAGTTGTTTTGGACATTTTTTGTGCCATTTTTGGGCATTTGTGGGTCAATTTGGACTAAATCTAAGTCGTTAGACATTTTCTTTGAGTAATTTGGGCCCAATCTTTTGGTACTCGTCCTTAAAAATGGGGGAAAAAGTTAAAAATATTCAGCTAAGGCTGCTATTGTGGCCCCAGAAAGTTCCTGTAAGTGTATATATATATGGATGGATCCATATTTCTACTAAAAATACAGTGTTTGGTCACATTTCACCAACTATTGAGGCTCTAACATCAGTAGAACCTGATGTGTGGAAAGTATGACAAGCCGACTGATGATTAAGATCTGCTGGAAACTGTCTGAGTCCTCACCAAATGTCAGGGCGCTTTTTTTTTTCTTAAAGGTTAAAAAAACAAAACCCCTCAAGTCTGAAACTCTCTCAAAATTTCTTACAGAACTTAGTTTTAGGACTCGAATAACAAACAATGACCAAACGGTGTTCTTTAGATGCGTTTAGATTTTTCTTTTTTGCACTCTGAGACACTGACAATGAAGTCCACATTGATCTGAAGGCTGTCCAGTTTTGCTTTATCTGATATAATCACAGACTCTTGTGTTAATTCTATTTAACTTCAGGTGTGTGTGTCTCAGCACCTTCTCCACAGCTTAAAAATAAAAAAATAAATGACTCTAAACAGTAAATATCAGAGGTTTGTCTAAATAATGTTACAGGGGCGCTGCGCCCTCTTACCAAAATGTCGATTGAACCGCCGGCGTGATATAATCAGATGACATGTTCAAGACGTCACATCAGGAAAACTATCGTATATACGGCGATGCTGTCAACTTCTCTCTAAAGTGCAGACTTTAAACTCTCTCCCAGTTTTTGTTTCACGTCGACAGACCACGTAAAACCCGAGATATGATGCTATGAACACGCGTGACAAAAAACGGGTGTAAAATATAAGCATGCTGCGGGCGTTTCTTTCAAAATCTCTGTCATTTTTTGTGATTGATTTTTTTATGACGGACAAAACGAAAGTGAAAGAAAGTCCCTGGAAGTGCAGGTCCTGTAACATGGCTGTCTGCCTCATTTTGGACAGAAATTATTTTCAGGAGTGGCACAGAAAAAACAGAAAGAAAGCCACACCTGCTTCGCATATAGCTGCATATATAGTTGTATATATTTGTATTTATTTAATTTTATATTAAATTTACCTTTTCAAATTCACGTCTGCAACCTATGGTTACATTTTCAACTTTCAAAATGCTCCGTTAAGCACGTTTGTGGTTTTTATTGTTATAAATAATACTTTTCTTCAAATCGGATTTTGTAGTTTTTGTGTGTTGTTGAGCCCAAAATGTTAATACAGTTGGTTAAAATGAAAAAAGAATGACGTTCACCCACATGTATGATAAGGTCTTACTCCATGACATTGTGTTAAACTCAGGTTAGTGTACATGATAGGGTGTTGCTCCCTGACACTGTTACACTGGCTAAAGTACATGTATGTGCATCATGCTGCAGTACGAGCATGTAAGAACATCCCAAGTACTAGTAAATAGAAGTTTTGCCAATACTAGTATTTGTCATGTTTTCATGTACAGAGTACAGTTGTGTTACAGTTCTAACCAAACAACAATTGCTCAACAGTTGATAATGTCTTGATTTATGAAGTTTCATGAGCTAAAACTTCTCCCTCAGATAGCCTCAGAATGTCCCATTTAAGCTTCAGTTTTTCAAAGGCTTCGCACCGCGGAGGGGTGTTTTAATATTATTTTTAAATGTTATTTATTTTTTATTCTTTATTATTTTGTGATTTTTTTAAATTAATTTTTTGCTTTTATTTATTTATTTTAAATGTTTTTTTTAATAATGTTGCTTTAAAAAGGAAATATGTGCAGAAAAATGTGCACAGTAGGAATTAATCAATCAATTACTGTGCACATCAAATTAAAAAAATAAATACAAAATAAAACAAATAGTTTTGTTTTGTTTTTTTTAATTAAAAAATAAATTATTTAATTATTCTTTTATTGATTTATCTTGGTAATGTGGCGCTCTCACTACTCCATAGCTATGTGCTAGAAATGAGCTGTTTCTAAGTGACTGAGCTCCGTGTTGATCACCGTCTGCACAGACAGCAGAACGTTCACGTTAAAGCGGTGACTCACCGGTTAAGATGGTCAGCAGGGACTCGTTCTTCACCAGAGCCTTCTGCTTGTGAACATCCCTGCAGACACAAACGGTAATTAATCCATGTATTTATTACAGACAACGTCAGGAGACTCATCTCTTTTGTGGTTCTACAGAAGAAAGAAAAACCCGATAAAAGGAAGGCGTTTTTAGTCCGTGTTGATCGGAAAAGCTCTGAAGTAAATCCTTAGTAAACACAAATGGAAGGCAGGTCAACAGAACTTCACTGACCAGACGGAAAGCGTCGCTCCGGCCGTCAGAACCATGACGAAGTGGGCCGAGCAGTGCAGCGCCGACACCGGCGAGGACAGCTGGATGGACGGGAGGAGGCGCCGCCCACACGAGGAAAACACCGACAGCATCCGGTCCTCACAGGCGACGGCCAGAACGTCACTGAGGACGAATACAGAGACGGAGTTAGAGCTGCTGATTCATTCACTCACAGGTTTAGTTCAGTCCTTCTAGGAACAGTCTGTGTCTCAATAACTGTCTAGAGTAAAGGAAAGGTAGAAGAAGTGAGGATCAAGGATCAGACAAGCTCAGAACATGATCTGCTGTTGGGTTTTATGGGAACTGTTTACTTTCCTGACTTTTATTCTATTGAATTTTATTTGTTTTTAAAACGTGTTTCATGCTTACCATGAAGTCCAGATGTCCAGTTTAGAAAGCCAGATGACATATTACAGATTCATAAACAGCTCTTAACAAGTGTATTAGTCCACCATCAGATGTTGGTTTAAAACACAGCTGCCCTAAACGTACAGCACTGGTGACTACCTGAGTAATCCCTCATGTCTCTGTCACGGTTCATACACCAGTCTGTAGAAGCTCTGCAACCTAAATGATATGTTTAATGCTAAAATAGAATTATTATTGTTCTCCATGAATTTATAAATACAGTTGTGACTCGATAATCTGACACTAAACGTAAAACCTTCTTTTATGTCGGATAGCAAGGCTGTCAGTACGTTAAGGCTGTTTTCTATGGGTTCTGTTCGTTTTTCCTAAAAATCTGTCGGATAGCAAGGTTTAGGATTGTTGAGGGTCGAGTCACGACTGTTTTACAAAAAAAAAGAGAAACACAAAAACAGTAAAGCACATTATTATTTCTTGACTAAGGCGTCAGATTATAGTTACTTACTTGCATCCTGAACAGAAAATTAGTTTTAGTGGTTGAATGTGATGCCTGAGTGGCTCATTTGTTGGTATAAAAGATGAATTCAGTCTGAAATTTCTCATTCCTGTTCAAAACGGTAAAACGTGGAGAGCTGAGGGAGAATTAAAGCACTTCCTGATGCTGGATGGTCTATAAATATAAATTACACAGGAAAAGCTCATTACATCTATGCTGACACTTTTTCTACCATGTTTATATTTTACTTTGTATGTTTATCGATGTATTTGAACTGTTCATATTTGACTTTGAATAGGAGCCACTGCAACACCAGCAGTTTCTCCTCACAGATCAGTAAAGTCTTTCTGAGCCTCCAGCCCGTCTCGGCGGCGGCGCCCCCTACCTGCTGCCTGCAGCCGTGACCACCGAGCTGGGCAGCAGAGTGTTCCAGTCCCGGCCGTCTCTGGAGCACCTCAGCTGGCTGAGCTTGGACCCTGCCACCACCGTCACCTCGTTCTCCACCTCCAGGAACACCGACGGCTCCATGCTCACCTGCACGCAGCCACATCTTCAGGTTAAAACAGTTTCTGGTGCAAGTTTATAGATCAAAAAAACCCTCATTTTTGACTTTGCACACATCAGAAATCTGGGAGCAAAATAAACTAAAACTCTACAGTTCCTCATACCAACTTTGATTCCACATTAAATAAAGTGAAACAGACCTTGACATGGAGCCTTCAAGTTATTAGCTGTTATCATTATTATAGTTTTACTATATTAAATCAAAAACTACAGAAGCCCTGAAACGTACTTATTTGTTATTTGAAATCCAAACACAGTTCTGTAAAATACTTCAGCAGAATTGAGATTTTCAGACGTTTTCAAACCTGTGATTTTTTTTCTTTTTTTTTGTAATTTCACCCTGAAAAACTCATATTTGTGAAGCTGTTATAGGTTTAATATCTACCAAAATAAAACACCCACAGCCATGAAATTTGATGAGGACAGAATAGCTTCCAGCAGAAAGTGATCCAATGTCTCAAGAAGAGTCCAAATTCATGCCTATTGGTCCACCAAAATAATTTTTTTAAAAAGTGCATTTTTAAGCTATTTTAGAGTTTTCTTTTCTTTCTTTTTAAAAAAAATAATTTGGGCCAAATGCTTAATTACTGGCCCTTAAAAATGTAAAAAGGTCACATTTCACCAACTGTTGAGGCTCTAACATCAGTAGAACCGGATGTGTGGTAACACAGGGCCCAAGTTTTTCGCCATTTTACCAAAATGCTGATGTGGACTCAGTGATAGGAGCCAAAAACTGGTGTTCACAGGTTCTCTATGTTGTTATTACGTGTGCAAAGTTGCTTCTATGTGGAAACTGAACACGTGAGGTGGATTTTTCCCACCAAATGCTTTTTTTTTTTTTTTTAAAGTGAAATAGGAAACACACAGGATTCTTAAAGTTCAGTAAAAATATTTTACAGAACTCAGTTTTGGGTTTTAAAAAAAACAAAAACAATAAATAAACTGTGAACAAAATCTGAGACGATGCAGCAGCAAACTGTCTGAAATGATTACCCTCTAAGGTAGCATAAGAATACCAAACAACCTCTGCTCAGTTCCATACATCCATGAAAGACGCAGAAAACAATTAGAAGTTTCAGACTTTTGTGTATTATTTCTGCCGTGAATTGTATTTTCCTTTCTTGGTAAACTTTTTTCTTGAGAAGTCCTGTATAAAAGTATTTTTAAAATCCCAACAACACAAACCTTTTTTCACTATTTAATGGCTTATTTTTGTCACATTCGTGCAAATAAATAAACTGAAACTACAGCCAAATAGTTCCGTTCCTTCTTCTAGTTTCCAGGTGTTTAGGTGAGAAACGGGAACAGAAGTTGGTTTTTAAAGGTGAAGGTGGCTCTAAAATTAAAACAACGCCTTGCTGGTGGGTGAACACATGAAAGTCTCTCCTGGACGGAGCCTCGGTGTGTTTACCTGCAGACTGAAGGCCTTCTTTGTACTCGGTGTCGGCAGCTTGAGAACAGCGACCGGAGCCGGAGGAGCCGAGACCCTGCTGGGTTCCCGCTCAGCTGGAGGAGTTATCTGGAACAAGAGGAAGGACCAACACCGAGTTATCTCCGTTTGTTAAGGTTTACAGCAACATGTCGTCTGGTTTGATCAAATGAGAAGCTCTGACCGACCTACACCTGATTCATAAACTAGTAAATGTCTTTGTTGTACCTGAGGGAAGGGTTGAGGGATGGTGGCGGCCATCTTGTCTTTCCTGGGCCGTCCCTTCTTCCTCTTCTCCACCACCTCTCCTCCGTCCAGCAGCAGCTCCGGTTTCCTCTTCCCGAACGCCAGGTTCTTGTTGATGGCGGCCATCTTGTCCTCGCTGTCACTGCTGGTCTCCTCTTTGGTTTTGGCGTCTTTCAGGGCGGAGAGGGCGTCCTTCGGCCGGCTGGGGAAAAACAGACAAGACAGAATACATGTTCCTCTTTTTCTTCTTCTTCGTGACTCACTTCTTCACATGCGGCTTCGTTTACCTGTCGAGAGGCGTGAGTCCGGCGGTGGAGGTGATGGCGGCCGTGACCCCAGGCGTGGCCTTCGACCTCTCGGTGAACCTCGAGTCCAATGCTTTCATCGGCTCGATCTTGGAGGCAGACGTGAGCAGCAGACTGGACTTCACACTGAGCACAAGAAGACGGAGAGTTGTGTTAATGTTTGTAAAACAAGAAGAAAGAAGCAGAGGACAATGTGGACGGTGGAGGAGAGCGCCTACCCGTCGTTGTTGTCCTCCAGCCCCTTGGCGGCGCTGTTGGCTGGAGGAGAGGTGAGCATGGCGTCGTGGCTCGGCCTCAGTCCCAGAGAGGAGGCCTGTCCTGGGCTGGAGTCGGAGCTGAGCTGGTTGGTGAGCTGGCTGGACATGGAGGAGCCCGACGGCAGGATGGGAGCGCTGTTGAACAGAGCCGGCGAGAAATCCCTGCAGACAAACGCGGACATTTGACATATCTGAGCTTTCTCTGTGTGAAAAAACTAAAAGTCCCCATCAGAGAAAACAGTATCATGAAGGCGGTTCTCAAACCTTCTTTGGTAACTCTGAGCATGTTATCATTAAAGGATACTTGGGCCCAGATGTAAGCCAGTGGAACAAATAAAGAATAAAATCAAAAACAAAACAAAAGCACACCGATGTCCCATCACACTTGTTCTATGGTACTTATCCAGGTTGTTTTCTCCTGACTAGATCCTCACACGTGTTGTATCTACTCTCAGACGTACGTCGCTTTGGATAAAAGCGTCTGCTAAATGAAACTGTAGAATTGTGCAAAGCAGTATAAGAACAATACAAACAAGTGCATACCACCAATAAACAGATAAAGGAGGAGTTTAACGCGACCAATGAAGTCCCATCTACTTCAGTCAACAGGTTGTTTCATTGCAGAGCTACAATGAACATGGAAACTTACGACAGTAAAAAGTGCAGCTACTGCAAATAATACAAGACCAGAATGCTGGTAGAGAACCGTTGTTTATGTGTTAACTTATTTATTTTAGTGATCAATGCATATTTCTCACTGACAGCTGCACATTAAAGCTGTTAAACTTTATATATTTAAACATGATGTTGTACTAAAGTGCATTTAGGTCTGACACTGTCTCATAATGCAGGACATCATTTTCATTTTTGGCCAAATCAAAGTGAAATTAATGTAACTGATTCAATATTCATATATATATTGAGGAAAAAATTTGGTTAAAGGGAGACACTTCAAGCTGATTTGAATCTGAAACTTTCCCAGAACCTGGACCTTGTTACCCCTACAGTATCAGTTACCATGGAGATCTTTAGCTACTCAGCATCAGTTACCATGGAGATCTCACTTCACAGCATCAGTTACTATGGTGATCTAGCTCCACAGTATCAGTTACCATGGAAATTTAGCTCCTCAGCATCAGTTACCATGGAGATCTAACAGCGAACCAACTTTGTGACACTCTGAACTCTGGATTCAGGCCCAACCCACTAATCTCACTTCGTAGCTGAGCTGTCAGATCTCGTACCGTTTACATCACCAGCACTACTTTACTTAGATTTAACTTTCGTCCACCGCTGTGAGTGTCATGTTTTCTTACCCAGTGTCCAGCTGAGCGATGCAGAGCGGCGTGATCCGTCTCCTGCCGTCAGCCGTCCTCGTCTCCACCTGCTTCTTCAGAAGGTTCTGCGAGACAAGGAAATAGTGGATCCAAGATCAAACTCAAAATATTATAGAAAGTATTTCATTTTTCTAGATTTTTAGAAAACGCAAAAGTATTAAACACCACAAATATGCATCCAATTTTCTATTTCTTTTAAATTGCTGCTGTCATAATGGTTTATGTTTATTGTGCAGCTATGGCAGCAGTTTACTTTTCATTTTACTGCACAAACTATGTGAACATGTGACAAATAAAAACTCTTGAATCTTGATAACTGATATCTGAGGATTTCCAACCTGGCCCATGTCATTTGTTCCTCTATGTTTCGCTGTATTTTACTGTTTTGCTAAATGTCCAAACAAAAGAACATCAAGAGTTTCTATACAACGTCTTTTCTGTGCCATTTGAATGCTAAAATACATCAAACTTATGCATAAACAGCTGCAGATGGAAACTCAGCTCTGACTTTTGTACCAAGAATCTGTAAACGTAAAATTTTCCTGATTAGAAAACCTTTTATTTTTTAGCCAAACAGCTGCTTTTACCCGTGCGTTTCTAAACTAACTGATTAAAAGTGCAGCTCTGTGCATAAAACGTCCTTCACCGATGAACAAACCTACAGCCGATCACAGTTTGGGCTTGTCTGCTGGACGACACATTTACCTTCCTGATGTCCTCCAGAGACTCTCCGTTTATCACGCTGTTGAGTTTGGGCGCCGAGGACTCGGGCCCGGCGCTGCCCGGCCCGGCGTTGGCCTGGGCCGAGTTCTGTCGCTCTTGCTGGTACTTGAGCATCTCGGGGTTCTCGATGATGGTGGTGGAGAGCTGAGCCTCGGTGCTGGTGATGGCCAGGCTCTTCCCGTAGATGTTCTGGTGGATGCTGTTCTGTGGGTCACAGCAGGAGACAGAAGGTGTTTGATGGAGAAATAAACAAAGAAGGGAAAACTAGGAACTAAGTAGAATGAACAGACTTTTAGAAATATTCTGGACTTTCAAAATTCCTGGTGCAATATTATTTTTTATACATAAACTAGAACACAGGTGTCACACTCAGGACCGCAAGATAGTTCTTAACAAACAGTACACGTGCAACTCACATCTTTAGTGATGTATCCTGGGGTCGTTGGGTGTTTCAGGTCTGGTGGTTAAAGTCTGGTTTAAAGCATCCAGGTCTGGTTCAAGTCTGGTTTAAAGTGTCCAGGTCTAGTTTAGATATGATTTCATGTGTCCAGGTAGAGTGTAAAGTTTCCAGGTCTACCTTCACTTCTAAGTTCGTATCTTCGTCATTTTAAAGATGACTTGTACATGACGAGTATTGTGTTTTTTTCCCCAGAACAGTCTCGGTTACACATGCGATATGATCATATTTACAGATTTTATATGTTAGCTTTTATTTTAAGGACAACCGTGTAGGTGAGATAGAATTTGACAAAAACAGTACCATGACGATGGACTTAGAAATTGGGCAAAACGTGTGCATAATTCATAGTAATTTTTTTTATTCACTAAAGTTTAAATCATCACGAAGCCCCAGTTACACTCTGTCTTGTGACGTGAGTTCTGTATTTATGCAGCGATGTATACAGACGGACGTAGGACTATTTCTCTCGCCAACAAGTCGTACAGTTTCACTTGAAAACCTCACTGCAGTGACGACCCCGAGAGGAGGTAAACCCAGAAAAAGGGACGCAAAGTGCACCTGCTGGCTTCTGCAGGTAAAGGCGATAAAAAGATGCCTACAGAGTCAATGCATAGTGCTTCATGTTTAAACACTTCACATCAGCTTTAGCAGGGATATCTGGCTATTAAGATTTTTTTTTAGATGCAAATGTACAATACACAGAACATTAAATGTGTTTTGACGTACAAAGTTCTATTTTTGAGTCGTAGAATGAATTTTATGGGTTGAAATGTTCTGAATTTGTTTGGTACTTTTCCCACTTGTTCTTCTGCTCACTGGAACAGACTAACTGGATTATAATGACGTACGGGACAGTTTCAGGAGCGACATCTTCGGGTTAACTGACTAAATAACGAATGACAGTGAAGTTCTGTGCATCGTACCTTCTCCTCTTCGCTCAGCGGGTCTCCCAACTCGTCCAGGGAGAAGTCCAGGTAGGCGACGGTGCCGTCCATCGAACACACCAACATCCCCAAACCGGTCAGAGTCCTGACACACAAACACGTCACACTCAGAGATGCAGAGGATGCACAGACACCTGAGAAGTCTCTGACTGACAGAACACGGCGCAGCGTCGTCAGTTTTTGTCTCAGTGGCCGACAAATAAAAACCCCCTGCAGCCAAAAAGCATTTTCTCCGGCGATAATTGAAGATGTCTGCAGTGATGTGAGGCCGATCAGCTCAGGGAGTGAAACGCTAATTTACTTACGTCGTACAACACGCGACGTCTGTTTTCACTCACCAGGAAATGTCCATAATAGACTTATCGAAGAGATCGTGGATGACCACCAGGGGGCGCTTCAGCGAGGTCAGCTGGGGAGGAGATGCAGAAACGGATTTTAAATAATATTTAATGCTCAGTGAACAGAAGTTAGTTTTGGAACAGAGATTTCTATTTAACCAAATCTGGCATCAGTAATAATGGAATATAGAAAAAAAACAAATGTTGAAGAGGGCTGGACCGCCTGATTCAACAAACGCTCAGATGCAGCCTCTGAACTGGGACACGGCTAAAGTTTGTAGAGGCTAAAAAAAAAAAAAAAAAAGTGAAATATCTACAGCAAGTGGAGACAGAATGACAACAAGACGACCAAAAACAAGACAGCAAATGAGTTGCGTGAAAAGTCTGTAGAGGCTGTAAGCAGTAAAACATCTATTTTTTCCACTGTTGGTAACATCTACAGACACTGGTCATTTCCTGACGTATGGCATCATAAGTGACGTGACTGCTCTGCTTCCACAGAGCTGCAGGACGTTATATTGCAGTGAAAAACGAACCCACAGTGAGGACAAACGAGACAGAAGCAACAACACATTGAGCCTGGAGGGGTGAATGTAAAGTTCAGCGTGGACTGACCCAGACGGAGAGCGAGCGGTCTTTGCTGCCGACGGCGCAGCAGCAGTACGGGCAGCTGGGTTTGGGAGAGCTGCCGTTCTTCTGCTTCTTCTTGAAGATCTTTGGGTTGAATTTCTGCAGAGAGACGGACAGCAGATCCGTTAGTGTGCTGCCGCCACATCTCTGTGGTTAAACGTGGAGGTAAAGTGTGCCCTTACCACCACGGTGACAGCTTTGCGGTGGCCCACGAAGTCCATGTTGGTCTTCCAGCCGTCCCTCTCCACGATCTGGGCCGTGGGTCCCGAGTTGTTCATGGCGTGGGCCGACACCAAGTACTGACCGTCCGGAGACCAGGACAGACGCAGGACGTGTGTCGTGCCGCCGCACTGAGAGAGAGAAAGAGGGGGAGACGAATATCTAAAGCCTCGTTCGTGACAAGAAAACAAAAGGAGCTGCGGGAGCGTGGGCGCACCTCGCTGAAGGGTTTGGTGATGTTGGCCTCCATCTGCCAGTCCACCGTCCTCCACACCTTCAGGCTGTGGTCGTCGGCCTGCGAGGCGATGTACTTCCCCACCGGATCCCACGTCAGGCCCTTCACCAGCCCGGTGTGGCCTCGCAGGCAAGTCACCATCTCTGAGGAGCAGAATTAGAGCGGCGGTAAAGCCTCTGCACTGGTTCACTGGGTCACGCCTGACCTCCTCAGAGCTTTATCTGTGCATGTCATGAAGGAAATGGGCTCACAGGTGGGATCATGTCGACTTATTGCACCAATCTGTGGGTCAGTGAATAATTTCAAAGCTAATGCAGCTACAGTCGTAGACTGTTACAGACTCACTGATGTGTACGTCTGGTCTTCAGTGGTTCAACCCGGCTTTGATAGAACAATACAAACAGTTCAACGATGGTGTAAACTTTGCGAAAAAAAATATATTCCACCTTTATTTTACACATTTTCTAAACATTTGACAATATTGATCAGTTTTTCTACCTCCACCCTGATGAATTTGATCGTATTTACGTATTGATTACTTTTCTTAAAGCTAATCTCATTTATTGGTTTCTCTATTTACGCATTCATTAGTTTGATGGATTTTATTTATTACGTTTCTTAAAACTTTCTGTATTTCTACCTTGATTAATGTGATATTTGTTTTGATGAACTTTGGCTTCTGTTTTGCTTGTTTCCTATATTTCAGTAACAGATATTCTGTTTTATTGCATGTGTTACTGAGGATAGCATCTCCTCAGTCCTCTGTGTTTGAGTCCTTTATTTACAACATGATTTGGATGAATAAAGTCTGGCTGATTGACTTGATTGGTTAAAGAGGCACAAAGACGGTATGATGATGAAATACTTTCCTGCCCTTTCAGCGGGTTTCACAGCACGGCGTGACTGAATTCTGGTTTCCTACCTGGGAACTTGCGAGCGTTCCAGATGACGATGGTGTTGTCGACGCTGCAGGAGGCGAGCCAGACGTCGTGAGGAGACCACGCCACGTCCATCACATCTGCAAACACAAGATGCAAACGACGCTTTAAGGGCTTTCTGTGGAGCTTTGGAATCTTTAGTTTTAGCACAAAGGACACATTTGTTTAAAAAAAAACAAAAAAAAAAAAAACAGATCCTTAACTCAGTGAGACATTTTCTTTCTTAAATAAAGGTCAAATTCAAAACGGGATGATGGACGCGGTACAATGTCCTGACAGTAGTTTCACAGTATTCGACTGGTATAAAAGCAGCAAAGTGCAGCAACAAGCACACAGAAGAAGAAAAGAAGAAGACGTGAAGGAACGATGTTTCTATTTGTCTTTGATTTGTGAGGAAAGAAAATGCAGAATGGAATCTATACGTACGTGTTCTGGTAGATTAATCGTAGCAACTGGACTCGACTAGTTGGGAGTTCCAGATACTGATATTGTTAAAGATCCATTAACACCTGAGTTTCGGTTTCAACTGGGGGGTTTGTTGCTCCTCCCCCTCGTTATGTGGGTCATTAGTGCTCCTCCTGCCACAATGGGGTTCGTTAGGGTCTGTTGTGGCTCGGTGTGGATGTGGTTTCATCTTCCGGCGGAGAGATCTTAGGACTGAACTGTAAACAGGTGAGAGGTGATGCCTCAGACCTCCACCTCTGTTGAGGGACGAACTGATGAAGCCTCTTGGATGAAGGTGAAGCGTCTTGAAGGAACTCAAGCAAGTCCAGTTGCTACGATTAATCTACCAGAATAACCATGACCTGGATGACTGAGAATCTTCACAGAGATACCCGTTCGTACGGTCGAGGCATGCTGATGACATATTAACCAGATGTGTGTGTTTTCTCTATAGGTGTGTCGTACCTCCGGTGTGGTTCCTCAGGATGGTGACACACCTCCACTGCTCCACGTTGGCCAGCTTGCTGCTCGACCCGAACACCGTGCTCGGACCGATAAATCTACAAAAACACACTCGCGTTGTGAAAACCAACCATTCAATGTAGAGTTCTGTCAGAAAAGTGATGTGAAAACACAGCGATCCTCTCTAAATGACCGTAGCAGCGACTGCATGGTGTTCTGTGTGTCGTTGTGTACGTACGCGGCTCTCTTCCACACCATGACCAGCTTGTCGTCGCCCCCCGACGCCAGATACAAGCCGTTGTTGGACCATCGCACACAGTTCACGCAGGCTGCAGAGACACACAAACGCCGTTTCAAATACAACTCAGAGGCTTGGTTATGTCGAGCATTAGTGGAGTGCAAGACGCTCCTGTTATTAAATCTGACTGCTTGGACGTGTTTAGAAGTGACTTTAGTGACACAGCAGGAGGATAAAAATGTGGATAAAGGTTCAGACTAGTGACTCTAAACTGCATCTACCTTCACAGAAGTACAAACTGCAGTCATAGAAGCTGTTTTAAACCTTGAAGTAGCTGATAAAAAAAAAAAAAAGCCGTCTGTAGAATGAAGGACGTCTGGTGCAGCAGGTTGTAGAGCTGATCGTATTTTGCAGAACAGATCGTGACAAAGTCGAGAGCAGTAGCAGCAGCTGAGGGGAACATAATGCAGTTTTACAGAAACCGCCTCCTTTGAAACGAGCACCTGCGTTTGTTAAAAGTGTTTCTGAAGTCCGTCGCTCGTTTCACAGAACGGAAACCGGCATTTTTGATCAAATAATAAAAACATAAGGAGCTGCGTGAGCGTTGGCTGGACAAATTTTTCACTTTTTTATTTGTTAATCTCTAATACCTGATCACACTCCACAGACTAATGCCACTTTAGACCTACGTGGTGATTAGTATGGAGTAGTGAGAGCGCCAAATTACACAAATAAATCAATTAAAGAATAATAATATAACAGTAGAAATGAAAGGAGGATAAATGAAATAAAAAATAAATAATGTGTCAATATAAAGCAATACTACTCAAAAATGAATCCATAAAAGAAAAGGCTCATAAAAAAGAAAATATAAAGACAAAAAATAATATATATATTTTTTATTATTATTATTTATTTATCTTTTTTTTTTTAATTATTTGTTTCATTTTTCTTTTTTCGTTATAATGTCGCTTTAAAAGCAATGCAAATATGTGCATAGAAATGTGTGCAGGAGGAGTATTGCTGTGCGCATATTTTCTTTCCTTTTGAAAGTGACATTATAAAAAAATAACTAAATAAAATAATAACAATAATAATAATAATAATAATAATAATAAAAAAATAAAAAATAAATACATGAAAAATTTGAAACAATAAAAAACAAAGAAAATAAAAAAGAAATTCAAATAAAAAGAACAAAAAATATGAAAAAATAAAATAAGTTTATATAAGAATATAAATTTTTTTTTTTTTTTTTAAATAAAAAAATTAAAAAAAAATTATGAAAACATATAGTATTATCTTAATTATTTTATTTGTCTTTATATTTCTACTTCCATTAGCCTTTTCTTTTATGGATTCATTTTTGATTAATATTTCTTTATATTGCCACATGATTAATTTTTTATTCTAGTTTTTCTTCTTTTTATTTCCACTTTTATATTATTATTCTTTTATTGATTTATTTCTGTAATTTGGCGCTCTCACTACTCCATAGATTAGTTTGTTAATCATGAACAGTTGTGAGTAGCATCTGTATTTACAGACACATATGAGCAGCCTGCTTTTAAATTTCCTCGTGTTTTGTTTAGGAGCCCAGATTAGAGGCTTGTCTTTTATTTAATCTCTAGTTTCTCTGTTTGGTCAGTTTTAGGGTTTAACCAGAAGGTTTTGTTGGTTTTGGGGCTGTGGATAAAAGCTGCCTTGTCGTGTTCGGGTGGCCTTTCTCAGCACCAAACGCTGAACGACTATCAGCTCTGTGGTGACTTCTTCATTCACTTTTCATTTCTCAACTGTTAGTCTGTTAAATTCCTCTCTGCCAGTTTTTAAACGTGCCGCGACAACAACGTGAAACAATAAAAGGAACTCGAGGCATGCAGCTACCTGCCTGTAAGAATAATATTTTATTTTCTGTGGGTCTTTATTGATTTCTCGTACCAAGCTCTACCTCATCTGTACGTTCATGAGCACGGCGGCTTAAAACATCCAGCAAAAGTATCTGCATCCACGATCCAGATGCAGCTTTTTACTTATTGAAGCTACACGATTCCAAACAGCTGCAGCTTGTGTGTCATTTTTGCATTTCTTTAAGCCTTTTTTCTTACGTGTTCAGCAGCATCAGTTACTGTTTTTATATTTTCAAGAATAATCTATCCGACTGGTTTTATCGATACACTTGCAAACACTATTTTCTTTCTACTACACGCAATGTTTTATATTTTTGCACATTTCTTTGTGTTCTTTTTAAACAATCTGATCGTATGAATGCACTGACGATGACAGGAGAAGATACCAGCTTCTAGCAGCATCTCTGGACCTCCTTTTTTAGCCCTAAAACAGTTTGTAGAGACAGTTTTCCACAACCGTTTATCAGCTGATGTGTCTCCGTCTCAGCTGCGTTCAGGACTCGACGAATGTTGTTCAGCGTAAAGACATTTTAGACAGAAACTTGGTACAGCTGGTTACCTAGGTGATTGTCCATCTGGCAAAGCATCTTGGGAATATTCTCATTCTTCTCGTCCTCCTCTCTGAGGACCGGAGCCATGTTCCAGATCATCACCTTCCCCGAATCCTCCCCTGAAAACCAACCGTGCGTTAAAAACAAACTAACAAACAAAAGTCATGGTGGAGTTTGAAGGTTGAGCAAAATGAAGGTGTAGCGTGAAGCTGCAGGAGGAGGAAACGGGACTCAGACGATCTCACCTTGGCCTCCGGTCGCAAATTTAGTCCCATCAGGATGGATGTCGACTGAAAATATGGGTTTGCCTGAGAAGCAGAGGAGAAGACACAAACTGTAGACTGATAGAAAACCAACAACAACAACTGAGAACAGAACAAAACGTTATTTGTGACAGATTTCAACACAACAGAAGAACGTCGGTGTTTTTTCTGCTGCAGGTTTCATTCGGTTGGTCTGATGGACAATCCCTAAACTCCTGTGATTTTCCACGGTTGAGTCGGAGCACGTCGACGAGCTCAAACTGTTCCTACATCAGGTCCTACAGGTGGTTGTTTGAGCAGTTTAGGATTTTCTTTTACTGGAACCCGTTTGTTAAACATGACTTTTGCATCTGACGAAACAAAACAGTTGAATAATAAAATCTAAAAACAAAATAATGACGCATAAAATTACTGCACTTCAATTCATGTTTATTGATCTGCATTATTTTAAATTTAAAAATGCACCAACGAAACAAATGTCCACAAGAAATCTGAAAAGCAGTACTACTTTTTTTAAAATGTAAAAGAAAAATAAATATTTTCGCGAGCTTAGCAACAGCGTTTATTGTCGACTTCCTGAAGCAGTAATAAGTCGACAAAATGTCATTTAATCTGATTATCGCTGATCTAATCCCTGAACTCTTCCTTTGTGACACACAGATCAATTTCATAATATTAGAAAAACATCAGCACCAGTTGGGTTCTCTGATATTTATATTAATCATAACCTAAATAAAAGAAACACAGTAAACATCCTAATTATGAGTCTGTAAACACAAAAACACAACAGAGTGTGAATTCAGAAGTGAAATGTAAAGATGACACGCTGCAGGAAGGTCAACATCTCAAACTAATTACCAGTTTATCGAGTTAATTCAGGGGATGAAATGTTTGCTCGTGCTTGTTTACGTCCATCTCTGCGGTCGTTTTAATTCTGATGGCTTGAATTATTGGTTTTAGAGCTGAAATAAGAAAGTAATGGAAGAAATGGCTGCTGTGTTTTCTGGTTGTAAGTGGCTGTCGGGATTTAGGACATTTGGTTGGACAAAAACAACAGTGTGAAGAGCATTTAGTGCAGAAATTAATGGACTAAATGATTATCTGTAATTTATTACTATTTATTTATTTGCCTCCATTATTGGCAGACGTTTGCCTTCAGATCTCACAGGGTTCGTCTCTAAATGTTAAAATAAAACACGCACACGGTGGAAGGTAACTCTCAGTGTGGAGTGGAACACAACAGTGAAGTTATAGATCAGCAAACAAAACTAATCGGTGCTGGTTGCAGATTTTAAACTCTACTTCTCTTGCTCTGAATGTAAATGTAGTCAGTTGGGAACCAGCTAATGTGAACATGTACCGGGACATTTCATCGCAGTTTTGGAGGAAGCTTCACAAATAAATCTTTCCACCATTTAAGCTTCCACACTGACAGCTTGGAGGCTTTTCAACTCCACGTCCGGCCGTCCTCCTTTATTCGTACAGATAAAATGCTCAGCACTTCAACAAAACATCAACAAGAAGAAATAACTTCACTGACTTCAACAGTAACGTTCAGAACCTACAGTGACACACAGAAATTAACCTGATGAACCTAAACGTTAAAATGCTACAACATGGGATCGTGAAGAACCGCTCTCTCATCTGGCCTGTGCTGTACAGCCACATGACAAGAAACCTGATCTGATTTGATAGAATACAAATGAACAGGACGAGCTTAAACGCTACAGTTAAGAACCATTATTATTTAAGATTAACCCAGAAAACCTACAATATTATAAAAACAAATCAACCTTTTCAATTTAATTAAATTATTACAGTTAACGACCTTTAATATTATATGTATAAATAATACAAAATAACCTGACTAACTTTAACACTGTTAAAGCCCTACAATACTATACATAATGCAAATTACACTGTTCAACCTAAATAATAGGAATAAAAACTAACATTATTAGAAACAACTCAAATTAAGATGATTAACTACAATATTCAGATTAAGATGCATATACAACATTATATATAAAACAAATTAGCCAAATAAATAAACAAAACATTTAACTGACTTGATTTTAAAAATGAACGCGGTGAACGTACAGTATTATGCATAATACAGATCGATTAACTTGGATACTAAAATGAATAACCTACATATATACAGCCTAACAAATGTATTTGATGAACATACAATATTATATATATATTAGTGATGCACGATATTAACATTTCTGGCCGATACTGATACGCGATATCAACATTTCTGATATCGCCGATAACCGATATCACCGATGTCAAATTTTTGTTCACACTGAAAAATGGGTAGAAGCAAGCACTGTGAGTAAACTATTTAGAAGAAGCCCAGATTAGACCACAGAGTCTTCTTTATTACAAAAGTAAAACATATTTAAACATATTTAATGTTCAAATCAATTTAAGTGAAAACATCTGTGAAATAGCAGCGATATCAAACGTAGAGACGAAGGCGCTGATGTTAAACGACCATCGGCCAATATCGATATATCGTGCATCCCTAATATATATAAAGCTGATTACCGTCACTTAAAAATGAAGGCGGTGAATGTACAATCATACAATACAACTCAGCCTCAAATATTAGTGTTAAATCTGACTAACTTTTTAAAAATGAAAGTGGTGAATGTACTGTATTATACATTATACAGATTGAGATTCACAACCTATAATAATGTATATACAGCCTCATATAAATGTACTTGATTAACCTACAACATTATAGATAATACAAATTAACCTGAGCGTGTGAAATACTCAGATTAACAACCTTCTATCCTACATACAATCTCTACATGAACGTGACTAAGTTGGACATGAATGAGAAGAACCCCCAAAGCTTCGAGCAGAAAAGCAGAATAAATCCTCTAGATTCCCAGTGAGCTGCACACATCAGCTCACATCTCTCCCCCGTGTGGTTTGTCGACATGTTTTTTTTGTGGTGCAGTTTGAGCAGAAAAGCTTCACGAACTGACTGTGAACGACCTAAAAACGTGCTCCGACATCAACAGTCGCTGGCTGCGCCCTGAATCCAGGCCATTCCCCCAACGGTTAACTTTCCAAACTGACAGCTTCCACCAACATTCACTTTTCAGCTGCACGTCGAGCCGCCACGCAAATAAACACGTATTTGATTCAACAATAATAATAATATAGGCCGAAACGTCAAAAAATATGAAACTAAAAGTCACTTTAGGGGCAGAAACTTCGACGCGGGTCGTTTGGCAGGTAAGTTAAGCTAACGTCAGGGCATCCGAGCTAGCCGGGGGGGCTAACTAGCTAGCTAGCTACGGTTAGCAAACACCGATTTGTTTGTAACACGCAGGATCGGCGGCGAAAGCGACGAAAACGGCGCGTTTAAGTGTGTAATTGTTGGGTAAAGTGCGCTACGTGAGCCACCGCTGGCTGACAAAACAAGTCAAACAAGTGTCGACCACCGCCACCATCATGCATCAAGTCACCCCCCTCCGACAACAAAAGCCCAACTTGGTCCAACAGATTCCTGCACAAGCTTACCGTTGTGGCTCACCCAGCTCGGCTTCAGCAGCTTCATCTTCACCCGGGCGGTTAATTTCACGTCCTGCGACCTTAACCTCGACGAACACCCATCCAGCGGCGAGCGGAGCCGGACAACTGACGCTAAGCCCCCCTCCCTTTGTCTCAAACTCTGTCCGACACTTTGCCGTTTTTGTGCTCCAACTCCATCTCTGCAGCGGCAGGCAGCATCCCCGAGCACCGAGCACCG